TTTTCATTGCCAATGAAATAGCTGAAACAAGTAGCATACAGGATTACGAAACCAAAAAATAAAAATACCATGGGCAAACAGGTAACGAACAATGTGGAACTGTTCAAGATGCAAAATAGAACAAATCAACTATAGGCAGATTGACAAACATATAACCATATACTCACACGAGCGTCCACCTAGAAGAATATACTCTCAGGGAAGGGGATAAAATAAGTAAAGTGGCAAGTTAACTGCAAGCCTTCATATATTTCAATTTAAGATTTACAGGACAACAACAGAGGGGTAACCAGAAAAAGTGTAAATCTCTAACAGAGCCCAGTTATACTCTAGAGGCCTGACTAGGCAATAAATTTCACGTAAATAGTGCATCAGTGGTTCACTGTGCACCTAACAAAAATTATTTCCAAACACCTACACTGATCCAATATTAAAGGAAAGATAATAATGTGAGGTCAAGTTTATTGATGGGAATAAGCTATCAATTATCAAATACGAAGTATTAGGTTGAAGAATGTGTTCATAGTGTGCAGGTAAAAAATAAAAAAGCTGAAACTTTGCAAGAGATTTCAGAATAAATGACATTGTCTAACCACCATAAAACTTCAGTTGACTGCATTAATTTAACATTTCCACAAAACTAACCTCGTGGCTGGAGGCTGCCAATTGTTGTTGCTTCCAGAATATCCAGTAGCCATAGTTGTACTAGGCCCATTTTCCTTCTTAGAAGAAGTATAATTTCCATGCATCATAGAGTCTGAAAAAAGATGTGGAAACATTAGCAGCATTTCTTCTATGAATCGGGATATTATGCACTATTTCAACTAGTACAATAGTCCATGCATGTTAAGATAATTTTTTCATTAGAAAATACCTGAGCCACCACGCCCAACAAATCGGTCTGTGCCTCCCCTGCCTCCACGGCTTAGACTGCTACCACCATGTACCCTAGATTCAGTAGAGCCCTTATTCTGAAACACACAATGAGACAAAATGGGAGGATATAATGCCAAAAAAATTGAGAAACATATGTGAATCCTCCATCAGTAATCCTAAAAATCTCAACAAATGAATGCAAAAAACATCAATAGTGACAAAGAGAATGAATGAAGGCATTCACGCATAAATTTTAGCTTAAAAGGAATTAAAAATGTGAAGAAAAAAGAGAGTAGAGCATCAGAAACATGGAATGCTCTTCGATAAAATCACGCACCTCTTTTCTTTTCTCACGTTTGCTTTTCACCTCATGAAAAGGATCTAGACCATCAATAAATTTCAAATTAGGAAAAAGTTCAATAACCCACGAGTAAAATTAAGTTCATAAGCCTGCTTTAGTTACAAAACTGTAAACACAAAGTACTACAACTTGACCTTAAGAAGTGGAACAACAGGATTAAAGCAAAGAATAACACTGCTGTGTTAGAAAGTGACTATGCTGATGTGGCAACTTCTATTGGGGACTAAAAAATAGAATGCCTTACTTTTCATCTCAACACAAAAGACCGAAAATAACCATCAAGGAATGGAGTGGGAAATTCTTTTCAGTAAGAAGCCAGGATGTGGGAAATAAACAAATACATTGAATCTTTAACTATGTACGCACATATAGGGTTTTAGGTGCATAATGCTGGTGTGTAAAAAACAAGTTTTTAGATTATAAGTTAATCAGGTTATTGTCAAGTTGATTTAGCATCCACAATTCGTTAGCCCAGGCGAATTCAACAAAACAGGAGCAACAAAAGATGCATGAAACTGAATTGGAACTTAAGGTACTATACAATGTCCATAAGTTTTAGCGTAACAAATAGTAATAATTAAAGATATATTTCTTTTAAAAAAAAGTGGGTCCTTATCCCAATCACCAATGGGAGAAGATTTGGCCTAGTTTCTTCATTCAGAGTTCCCTTAACAAAGTAATCCTGCCCACCCAAAAGATATTACTTCAACAGAATCAAGCTTAGGTGAATGTTAACGTATGCAATCTTGAACTGGGTAACAAAAGATATTTAGAAATAAAAAAAGAAATAAAATCTTGATAAAAAAGAAAGTAAAAAAAAAGATGTTCCCTGAGTAATAAAGATGGTAACTTTGAACAACTGAACTCAAACAACACACAGTAGTACTTTTTCAATCTTGAATTATGTCACGAGAAAGAGGGAACTAATACGATCACACATAGAGTAAAAACTTCAAAATCCCATATACATCTACATCAGGCACCGTGAAAGAACCAAGGCTAAATGTAGTTTTTTAGGGTTTATCACAGATAAATTGACCTTGAGAGAGGAGCCTATTGACGGCTTCATTAGGGTCCATATTACACTCCTTGAGAACAGCGTAGATCTCAGAATCGGAATAGTTGCTCACTATCTCCTTCAAGCTATCCACCATCTTCCGAGACCCGGCGGGTATCGCGCCAAGTCCGGCGCCGCCGCCATTGTTAAGTTTCCCTTTGCCGCTCATCTTCTTCTCACTATCGCAATCTTTCTTTCTCCCTCTCTGTCTATCTAAGAAGAGATAATATACGAATGATGAGTATATATTCCCTCCGATCTGGTGCAGATTAGTCTCTCTGAAAAAAGATACACAGAAGTAACTTCTCTTTCATAAACCCTCGGTGAGAATTTATTACTGTTCACATTTCCTATACCGTTTAGTCTCGAATTAAACATTAAAAATTTAACAGTATTTTCATATTTTTATTTCTGAAATAGGAGTTAAAATGTATTTACATTGTCAAACATGATCGTGTATATTACCAAAGTGTACATGTACAGTTCTACATTACCACAATGTGAACTCTTATTTTGAGAATAAAAACATAAAACTTCTATTTTAAACTTTTTTCTATGTTTAAGTCTTATTTAGGATGATTTTTCTAATATGTCCAAAATCACTTTTTCTATTATTTGGTGAGAGCATAAGAAGAACTTGAGTGTGTTTTTTCTAAATATCACAAATTTTTTGATAGTAAGATTTTGACATTTATCAAATATAAGATGTACCGATATGCCGCAATATATACCATAAACTCCGTGGTATGTTATAAGGTCAACTCTGTTTCTCATACATATGCGGCAAATATTCTCATTTACGAGTAACTAAATACTCCCTCCGTCCCAGAATATTTGTCCACTTTCATTTTTGCACATCATCCAATGCACTTTTTTAATCCATTTTATCTTGTAATTTGTATATTAAAAAATTGTAGAAATTATATAATAATAATCTATATGTTAAGACAAATCAAACAAGATCATACATGACTATATTTAGGCTTACACATTGAGAGAATTTGATGAGTCAAAATGCTTAGAAGAACAGTTCCAAAACTCAAAAGTGGATGAATATAGTGGGACGGAGGTAGTACTAATTATCGAGCAACTAAATATTTATTTTCGAGTAACTTAATACAAATTTTGAAAATGAGTATTTAGTTATTCGAACACGAATATTCAGTTAGTCGAAATAAGTATTCAATCACTCAACATCATATATCTGAATGTATAGTATATGTACTATCAATATAAGGTTTGATATCTCTCTCAACCATCGATCACTCATCGCCACCGCTTGCCACTATCACCGCCAATCACCCTCATTGTTGGTCACTATGCCTGTCACTAGGTTAGGTATTGACTCGAACCCGTATAATACCCGTAATTTTTTAGCATGTTTAGGAGTATAAAAATTCAGTTTACCTGTACCCGTTATTTTAAAAAAAATAAGGGTCGGGTATATGATGAGTGGTCTCGGCCTGTTTAAAATCTGTATCGTTTAAATAAATAGATAATATTAAGAATTACAAAACCCCACCCCTCTTATTTGCTACTCCCTTTGTTTGCTGGTTGCGTGGTTTCCAAATTTATTTGTATTTATTTCACCACATTAGAGGCATGTACACGTTGATTTATGCAGTAGTATAAAAAATAGTATGGAATTAATTATAATGTTACAAAGAACGTTCTTGCAACATGAATGAATGTGACAAGAAGATTGAATGCGAATCTAAGATTTTGTTATAGATTCTTGGTAAAGAAGGCTGATTTTTTTGCAATAATGTATTAGTCTTATTTTTATTTGTATACAATTAAAATGTTTTCATTCATATTATTTTTCACTAATTTCTTTTTTCAATTATAAAAAATAAAAGACGTCAACTTTTATCACGGGTATACTCGACCCGATAGATCTAAATCTAGGATTAAATTTCAAGACCTATCAGGTAAACGGGTACGAGTCAGGATTAATTTTTTTAAAAAAGGTACGAGTATAGAACACTATTGACCGCCCCAAGCCCGACCCATTGACAAGCCAACTGGTCACCCTCGTCTATCACAAATTAAATTATTGTTGAAAATCCTCTAAACAATTTCATTTCATATGTTAAAATTCATATCTTTTCTCTCAAATATTAAAATCTATACCATATCATATCTCCAAATCTCACTAAATAATCTATTAAACCTCATGGATTTGTTGAAAAATATGAGTATTTAAGTTTAGTTATTGGCTTTTATGTTTTTATTGATATCCCTTTATCTCATTCGAAAGTTAGCAAAGAAAAATTATGAAATTTAAGTAGGTTAAAAAGTACATCATCACGTATTTTGTTGCTTTTCAAAAACATTTAATGCATGAGCAGATACCATATTGTAATAAGAGGTATTGATTTAATGTGAATTTAAAAGTGGTAACGAAAAGGGAGGTAGTTTAAATTTGGCAATAAGAGGTATTTGTTTAATGTGATACTCTGGTATCAAGTAAAGTGGTAAAAATGGAATTGTGTTGCTAAAAAATAATAAGTATAAGCTTTCAAATGAAAATAATAAACTATTTTTGATCATTTGTTTTGGCTTTAAGGGGCTGTTTGGCAACTTCTGAATAGATAAGTGCTGAACCAGTAAGAGGTCTGAACCATTAAGTGCTGAACCAGTAAGAGGTCTGAACCATTAAGAGCTAGTATATTGCTTAACTATTCAGAGACAAATGTCTGATCGATTCAGATAAGAGCTCTTAACCATTCAGACTCTGTATAATACTTAACCATTCAGAGGCAAATCTCTTAACCATTCAGACATCTGAACCATTAAGAGGCTGAAACAAACAGTCTGAACCATTAAATGCTGAATCATTCAGACATCTGAACCATTAAGAGGCTGAAACAAATAGCCCCTAAGTCTGCTAGACGATATGTGCATACATTTTAATCTATAACCTCCCATTTAGGAGAATGGTATTGATGTCATTAGAGCATAGAGTTTTTGGCTAGTGTGTATGACATCATAGCTTTTGTAAAAACAAAAAAGTGGGACCATAGGTAAATTAACACCAAGGGCATGTTTGATTGGAATGGAGGAGAGGAGAATGAAATGATGAGAAATAATGGAAAGGGTATGAAAGATTTCCATTCACCTTGTTTAGCTGGAAGAATGAAAGAAAGCATTGATTTTTATTTTAAGTTTTATGCTTATAATTTTTATTTTTATTTTTTTTATTATCATTATCATTATTATTATTATTATTATTACTATTACCAATACTGTAACTATAACTATTATTATTACAATAATAATAATTACTACTATTATTTATTTAGTTATTTATTCTAAATATTTATTTTTTGTTCTTTATTAATACTTTTATTTATATTTTTTTAAATTTATTATAATTATTAATTTAATATTTTTTATTTATAATTACATAGTATATTTTTTATTTTCTATTTTCTTTTATTTTTATTTTATAATATATAATATTTATTATTTATTTTAGTTTTATTTTATTTATTATTCTTAATTTAAAATTAATTTTTAATGTCACGAAGGAGAGAAAATTGACAAAAGAAAAGAATAAATAACAAAGAGAATGATTTGGAAGAAATGAGAGGAATTTGAAGCTAAAATTTAAGACGCTCTCCCCTTCACTTTTTTGAAACCAAACCATGGGAGTGAACTATACTTCGTATTTTTTACCACTCTGGTCAATATGTCTATATTTTTATGCAACAGATGAAGTATTACAAATTATGAGTACAAAGTACTTTTCTCAGAGGTGAAAAGGTTACCTAGGACGAAAGTAATTCTTATTAACTATATTCATTAAAGAAATGCTAGGTTCACAAACGAAATAGTCACAAAATTACTATTTATAAATTTTAATATAAAAAAGATTAATTAGTCAAATAATTTTAAGATGAAAATTTGGGTCATAAATAGTAATTTGTGAAGTTTGTTACCGAATTGATCTACTACCTCTGTCCCTAAATAAATTATAATTTTTTTTCTCTTTCCTCTCGATAACTTTTGTTTGTTTATGCGATTTCATTAAGTATTTGATAAAATAAAATATTCTTGTTACCTTTTATTTTGTAGAACTTTTAACGTAATTTTTTAATATATAATTTTTATATTTTATTGATATACCAATTTGTAAATAAAATGATTTCAAAAAGTAGAAAATTTTACTAAGTTGCAAGGTTGGATTGGATGATTGATGACTTTGAAATGTGACCAAAGAGACCCATCCTGGGAACCTATCCGTTACACAATCACAAAGGAAGACGCTGCGAGATGAAATTAACGCTATGCAACACCCGCTTCTTCCCTCAGTCATATTCTTCCCCGCCGCAGGCCCGGCTAACCGCGGGTTTTCATCCCAAAGCATTCATCACTACTGGAGTCTCCGTCGCGCTCTCGATGGGGCTTTTCATTGCTCCGCCATCTGTCCCCTCCGAATTTCCCTTAAATCAATCGCCCGCCGTTTCTCTGATACCGAGGAATGACAAGGACCAGCTAGGTTGCCGCCGAGACGAGTTGGAGTTGAATACGGATGCGGCGGAATCTGAACCGGTAACGGATGCTGGAATTGTGGCGGAGGCGTGGCAGATTGTCAATGATAAGTTTTTCAGCACTGGCCGTGGCTCTTGGTCTCCCGAATCATGGCTTGTGAGGCTCTTCACTGTGCAATTGTCTTCTTCTTATTTATTCTGTATAATGATAAATCATAAAGATTTGTTTTTCACATTTCATACTAGGAATGGTTAAAACTCCTGTCACTAATTCAAGTTCTCACTTTTCTTCTTGGGATGCCAAATATAAAGTTCTCATTTTACGGAGTATTTTTTTTAGGAAGAACGTGTTTTTCATCCTATATTCCTCTGTTTTCACCTTGAAAAAAATAACTTTTTGAGGCAAACTAGAACTTAAATTGGGAACAGAGTAATAATATATACTCCCTCCGTTTCAATAAACAATTCCAATTTTGACTTTGGACAAAAATAAGGATTATTTGGAGTTGACTTTCTAATTTTGGCCTTGATGTGATGGGTAAAACTAAGATGTAATGGATAGATTATTAGTGAAAAAGTTTGATGTGATAGGTATGGTAAAAAATGTAGGGGTAAAAGTGGTTTTTTAATAGATTATGGAAGTGTTTTAAGGAAAAAAAATAAAAATAAAAGAGGAATGATTTTAAGAAACAGAGGGAGTAGTAAATTGAAATACAAAAAGAGAAGAAGAAAGTTTTCTATGTATTGGTGTTGAAAGGAAGTTAACAAAGAGACTCATGATTTACTGTTCAAGGGGTTCATTTTGATCCAGAGCACCAGATAACTAGCACACGAGTTTAAAAAACTTGTAATTTGGATGAAATGAAACTTTGCATATAATGTTGTGCTATTTTTTTTCATATGTGGATAAAATGCTTTGATTATTATGGTTCATGAATTTCTGTTGCAAAAACTGTGCTTCATAATCCACTCCCTCCCCACAGCTGTCATGTATTCACTATTGAATGATATAAGGTCTTAACATTGTTCAAAATTGCATTGTATAAATAATTTTCTTTTATAATCTCTGCACCAGACTAAGAAAGATGACATCTTGAGTACACCAATTCAGTCAAGATCAAGAGCTCATGACATTATAAGGCGGATGTTGACCAGCTTGGGTGATCCCTACACACGTTTTCTTTCTCCTGCAGAGGTTTAAGGCTCATTTACTTTGACTTAATGTATGCAGGAAAACACATAAATATACAGTCCTGATGCACACAAAGGAAACAAAGAACCAAATGGCATTTGACTGTTTTTCTTTTTCAGAATCCTAACCATTTTTCTTTCATTATATTATGCACACCTCACATTAAAGCACAACTCGAGTTCTTGAGAGTGAACATACAACTTCCTTTATAGGCTTTAGCCTAATTGATGGGCCAATTTTCGTTTTTGATTCAATTTGAATTTTTATTTAGTTATTATTCATGCAAAATTTTTGTCTTAAATTATGCTGAAGCTAGCGTGTTCTCAAATATATCAGCATAGAATTTTAGGTTTTATTCTATGAAATTTTATGCTACACATAGTTGTATCCATACCCTATTTTTACAAAACATTTGTATGTCGTACCACCCATATCCCAACAAACTAGGGTGTGTTCGATTGGGATCAGTTAAATTGGGCCGGACTCACTTAGATCCTCAAGAGATGGCGTTTACTTCACATTTATATACTCTACCAGAACAGAATAAATAACTAATATGGGTCTATGGGATACTTAAAAGTAATGAATAGGCTGGTTGCCAATTACTTCATACAACAACAACAACTCAACCGGATCCCACGAGCTGGGAGGGTGTGTGTACGCACACCTTGTCCCTACTCAAAAGTAGAGAGGCTGATTCCAAGAGAGGTGTACATAGACCTTACTCTGAAGTCTGTACTGTATTTGTTATTTTATTTTTCAATGTAAAATGTGCCGGTTATCTCAGGGTTGCGGACACAAAAATTCAATTTCTTATTCATTTGATATGAAAACATAATATTTTCCTTGCTAATAAAAACACTAATCTGGTAGAACATTAAAGCAACAAATCGCTTTAAGCGACACTTTTTTTCTGTTATAGTCTTGTACTTTTGCACCATTTTTTATTATCTCGTCTTCATAATTTTTAGTGTGATTTTGAATGGTTCTATCTCAACTGCTATCATCTTCATCATTTGATTCTCATTGATAATCTAGATAGTCTTTCAAATTTTTTTAATTCCTATTATAGAAATGGTTTCTAGTAACAAACACTTCATTGTTTTTATTGCATGGCATTGCTTGCTTTCATCACCTCTAATAGTTTGCCAAGTTGGCAAGATATGATATGACTGGGATTGGAATAAATCTCAGGGAGGTTCTAGATGACAATCAAGGTCTGAAACTTAAAGTCATAGGGCTCCTCTTGCATGGACCTGCCCATGGTGCTGGTGTAAGGCAGGTATGTGGCTTATCTTAACCATGTTGAGATGCATACATACATGTACTCTTACACATAGAAGTGTACGGATGCATGCGCATGTATTTGTGTGGGGGTTGCATGTGGAATTGTTCAAATGCCTTTTACAATTCTATCCCAATGTCTGTATACTCTAGCAATGGAAGGAAAAAGTTGGGGCACTTTGTCATTTCGAATTTGTAGAGAAAAGAAGAAACAAGTGACATGTCAAAAAATGGCACACTAAAAGGTATATATGAACATTTTAAAAAAGGTAGAGAAGAATTGTCCTTATTTTCCAACTAGGTTCCTTTTTTTCCAATTCTTTGAAATTATCACTTCCCTTAATATATGGTTTTAATCTTGTGAGCAGTAAAAACTTGCACCTTATTTTATATGTTTGTTAGGGAGATGAATTACTGTCAGTTAATGGTATAGATGTTACGGGAAAATCTGCTTTTGAAGCATCATCGCTAATACATGGTTCAAGTGGAACATTGGTGAACATCATGGTATTATTTTTCATTTTATGTGTCTTTCTAGATCATTTGTCTGAACCAATGTGGTAGTTGCTCTAATGATAATCTTTCCCATCTTAATGCTCCGTAATATGATTTTAGGTCAAACATGGCAGATGTGGACCGGTGCAATCAATTGATATTGAAAGACAGTCTATTGCAAGGACTCCAGTTTATTATCGGATGGAGCAGATTGGAAATAGTTCTAGTTTTGTTGGCTACGTGCGCCTTAAAGAATTCAATGCATTGGCTAGAAAGGATTTAGTAACAGGTATAAGTACTTATAATGTAATGACTCTCCAACCTTTGTATATGATTAGTCAGAGTCAATTAGGTAGTACGGAGTGTTAGATTTATACTTCGTTGCAATTGTTTTGGCATGTTTAACACTTCTACAACATTATATTCTATCCTCATATTTTCATACGAGGACGAAAAGAATTTCATTCTCTACTTAGGGTCCGCTCTTTTTGCCTTAATTTTAACCAGACTCGTTAGTTGATAAGTTCTTTATGTTCTTATTTTTTAACTTCATATTTTAAGCATTATTGCATGTAAATTACAAATAATCAATAACACCACACTAGGTGGGGTCGGCTACATGATCAAACGGCGCCATTGCGCCCTATCATGTAATCATGTATCCTATCTCGGAGATCATTCACGTGAAGGTCCCCTTTGATTACTACATGCCAAGTTTTCTTAGGTCTACCTCTTCCTCTAGCCACATGTCAATTCACCATTTGATTATCCCATTTCACTAAATGCTCTATTATTCTTCTCTCCACATATCCAAACCACCTAAGACGAGTTTCCACCATCTTTTCTACAATAGGTGCCACTCTAACTTTAGGTCTCATATGTTCATTCCTTATTCTATCCATATGCGTATGATCGCTCATCCATCAAAAAATCTTCATTTTTTCCAAACTAATCTTGTGTTCATGTTCTTCATTTGTTGGCCAACACTCTGTTCTATACAATATAGTTGGTCTAATCACAATACGATAAAAATTTCCCTTTAGTTTTAAAGGTACTTTTTTGCCATATATAAAGCCCGACGTAATCCGCCATCTTGACCAACCGGCTTGAATCTTGTGGCTAACATCATCCTCAATTTCTCCATTGTCTTGAATGATACGCCTGAGATAATTAAATTTCTTTACTTGCGGTATATCATTTTTTACAACTTTCACCTTGATGTTACTATTTTTCCTTTTGTTGCCAAACTTGCACTCCATATACTCTATTTTTGAAGCGACTCATATGCAAGCCGCCTGTCTTCACGAATTCAACTTCCCACTCAAATCTTCTTGTGATTCACCCATAAGGGTAATGTCATCGGCAAAAAGCATGCACCATGGTTCAAGTTCTTGGATATGCTTGGTAAGAACGTCTAATAGTCCAATACTAGTGTAAAAAGGTTTGGCCTTAACGATGACCCTTGGTGTAATCCTACACTGATGAGAAATTCCCCGGTTACCTCACTTTGACTCTCACACTCTTTGTAGCACCATCAAATGCTCTTAATCGCACGAATAAAAGCCATGTGTAAATCTTTCTTCTTACTTCGATACCTCTCCATCTTTTTGCTCACGAAGTATATAGCCTTCGTAGTTGGTCTTCCTAGCATAAAACCAAATTGGTTCTCTGACACCGAAGTCTCTTCTCTCAAATACCGTTCAACCATTCCTTCCCACAACTTCATCGTATGAGCTTGATCTCTCTGTAGTTTCCACAACTCTGAATATTCCCCTTATTCTTGTAAATAGGGGTTAAAATGCTCTTCTTCCATTCGTTAGGCATCTTCTTAGATATTAGAATCTCATTAAAAATCTTAGTTAGCCACCAAATGCCTTTTCCTCCTAAACCTTTCCAAATGTCAACCGGGATGTTATTTGGGCCCATTGTTCTGCTATTCTTCATTCGTTTTGGGACCTCCTTAACTTCAATATCTCGATTGTTTTTATAATAATTGAAGTTTTTGTCCTCCTTTATAGTGTGTAGCCGACCAGTTCTCATGCTCCTCATTAGAGGTGAGCGTGGTACGGTATTTAGCTTGTATCGATACCGTACCAAATATTTCAGTTCGGTATGGGATTTTACGTTGTACCGATCCCGGTTTGAAAGCATCGGTATCGGTTTCAGTACGAATCGGGATGAATATATATGTATCTAGTTTACATCATAAAATGTAAAAAAACCTTTTATTTTTGAAAAACCAAAAGTACATTTAATCAAAGAAAGATAAAAAATTTAAAAATGAAAAAATAAAATGTAAAATATACTTATGAAAGTTAGTTTATATTTCACAAACTAAAGAGAGAGTGATAACAAAGTATTATTTCAAATATTTGTTAATATTCTTATACTCATCTACACAAAATAAAAAAACTCTTATTAAAGTGTAACTTAAACATAATGAATTTAAACTAAATTGTCTATATAAATTTTTTATTTAATGAAAAAATATAAAAAGATTACTATTTTTATAATATATTAGTATATATGTTCGGTTTGGGAATTTCGGTATGGGAAGTAACCTCGTACCGTTCCCAAATACCAGACCGACCGTTCGGTTCAGTACGTTCAATTTTTTTTGGTACTTTATCGGTTCGGTATTTTTCGGTTCGGTATTCTCGGTTTTTTCGAGAAATATCGGGATCGGTTTGGTCCTTGCTCACCCCTAATCCTCATTGAACAGATCATTGAAGTAGTTCTTCCACCGCTCGTTTATGCTTTCATCGGAGACCAAAATTACTACATACTCCCTCTGTCACTAAATGATTTACACACTTTACTATTCAAAAATCACGGGAACTTTTATTTATTTGTGTGTTTCCATTGATCATTTGATGAAATAAAACATTCTTGGCACCTCTTGTTTTGTAAAACTTTTGATATACTTTTTAAATATGTAAATTTTACTCTTTATTTATATACCAAAGTTTAAATAAAATGAATATAAAAAGCTTGGGATTTTGCTTCGTTTTGCGTAAAGAGTAAATTATTTAGGGATGGAAGGAGTATGTTTTTTTGCTCCGTGTAAAATTAGAAAATTGTGATTTTGGTCCCTCTAATTTTTCTAATTTAGAAAATTATGAGTGATCTAGATGTATTTTTTTTGTGATGGAGTGATAATCAACTTCTATAGTTTTTATTCTCATAAAATACGGGATACATTTTATAGCTTCTTTATAAAATATGACTGTATCATTGATCTCACACTTGCATAAGTTGCAATGCACCATAAGTCAACTAATATTATCTGGTCGGCACAATTATGATTTATGAGTCAAGGATATATAATTACAGTACTAACACACAATCATGTCTTCAATAAGAACAATGGAGAGAGGCTGGCGGATCAAGTATTGTGAGTAGTTAACCTTGAGCGCCTTATGTTAGCTGTTAACTTGATTAATTGTTATATTACGTTCTCATATTCTCATTTTCTATTTGTTTGATGATTGCAAAAAATGATTCAGCAATGAAGCGACTCCATGACATGGGTGCCTCATCTTTTGTTCTTGATCTTAGAGATAATCTTGGCGGATCAGTACAGGTTTGTTTGCCAATTGGTGTGACTAGCGGTAAATTTCAGTACCTGTTGAGTTTGGTATACCCAATATTCATTTTAACTGCCGTTGTAGGCTTCCTATATTATTGCATGTTTCCATTCTAGACATTTAGTGCCCCATTTAAGGAGGAACAAAGTGTAGTTACCGTAGTAATTGAAAATCAAGCAGAGAGGGGAAAAAGGATGCACCTATAGTAAAGATGGGTTAGAGGAGTAAATGAGGCATTCTTTATACACTACAAAGCCATCATTTTCTCTAATACATGGAGTTAAGTGAAAAAGAAACCAAAGGACAAAGTTGCACCTTACGTAGTTACGTCATAGCTTACACGTAATGTTATGCAATTTGACTTTGCCTTCACTATTTTCATGCTAGTGTTGCACTGTTGCATACATTGGCCTTCTTTCACTTTTGTTCTGTGAAACTCTGTCCTGATTGACCTCTTCTTCCATTGATGTATGAATTGTCCCCAAGAACTCATAAAAGATTGGTGAGCACATATACTTGATTACAATTTGATGAACATGTGCTCTCTTTCTCATTCACACACCCACACCGACACAGTCACACACACTTTCTCTGTCCCTGCATCCCTTTTCCCATCCATACAAACACTCACGCTAAACATTATACTTCGACAATTTTTTTAGTCCCTTTCTCTTTCTTCATCAAGAGTAGGTTGCAGAAACTGGCTTCAACTTGTTAGTTGTTACAAGTTCTATCACATAGTGCCTATTCATATGAGTAGTGGAACATGCCCAAATATGTTTCTAAATGTGTATACTGTATACATATATCTAATAGTATGGGTACACATTTTTCAAAGACATCGGTGTTGAAGTACATGAACTGTTGAGACAATGATGTGAAAATCAATGATATTGCAAACAATCCAATGTTTCATGGATGCATTGAGCATATTGAAGAAGGTTGTCATTTTAATTGAGATTTTTCAGATTGAGATAAATTTCAGTGTTGTTTGATCTCGACATTTGCTTGTATGCATTGAAGATCACTTGGCGGATTTATCCGTGGAAGAGTTTAATAGAGATGGATTGTATATGTAACAAATTGTGTATGATAAATATAAGTACTCCAACTTCAGTGCTATGTAATGTGTAGCCATAGGGATAATGGGCTAAGTTGAAATATGTGTGTAGATGTGCGTGTGTGTATCTTGTCCGTTTGTGTAGATTGAGAATGTGAGATTGAGGATGTGAGAGGCCAATATAATCTCTTGGTTTCATGTGCACCATGTTTCATGATGGAGCTATCCTATTTTCCCTCTGCATGGGTTCAACTTATTTTTTCTGCTTATTACTTATTCTTATTGTATTCTTATTATAATTAGATGAAACCAGATCAGATTAGATCAGAAACATCTTTAATTATTTGCAATCAGATCAGACCAGATTAGATCTTCAAAAAATTAGATATTCAAAAAATCAGATCAGATCCGGAAAACGGAACGCAGTTATTCAGCTTAATGGATTATTTTGCTTGATACTAAGTTTATTTTGTTGTTTTTCGGAAGTTATATTTTTATCCACTTGCACTGTCTTTATTTCAGGCTGGTGTTGAAATTGCCAAACTTTTTCTACATGAAGGGGAGTTGGTATGAGCCAATTTGTGAATGATAGATGCCAATACTGAAGTGTCATTGGAATGGTGTGCATGCATGTGTACTTGTATTCTTAATATTTCATAACGTGTTTGTCCTGGTGAATTTGAACAGGTAACTTATACTGTTGGAAGGGATCCACAATACACGCAGAGTATTGTTGCAGAATCTCCACCTCTAATTACTACCCCTGTTATTGTAAGCAATATTTTTCTTAAAATAGTCAGTAATTTTTTGTTATATGTAGTATATGTGAGTAAACTTGTTTGGTCTATATTTATAGGCTTATAGCCAAGGTTTGACTTTTTTCAAATGTTAAAATTGTCCTGCTTGCTACAGCCTTGATGCATATTGATTTTACAATATCAATTTTGTTGCGAGACATGACTACAACGTTTCCAACTCATTGCTGTCTCATGTTTTTTTCCTTGCAAGTGGATGAAAGGCTGATAATGGTTTTGTTTGTATAATTTTCCCTGCAAGTGGAGACCCAAGTCTAGGAATGTTTCCATGAAACTCTACATATATAGCTGTCTTCTTATTTGGTAGGTCTGATTCTATATACGGTTAATGTCAGCTTCGGACATCCAATGCAGATTCTGGTGAATAAAAATACAGCAAGCGCGAGTGAAATTGTGAGCTACTGCTACTCGGACTGTACTGCTATCATATAATCATATGGTAGATTTGATCACAATGAATAGTGTCTAAATTTTGATTTTCACCACAGGTTGTCACTGCACTTCATGATAACTGCAGAGCTGTCCTTGTGGGGGAGCGGACCTATGGAAAGGTCTTGATATTTTTTATTGGATATTTCAATATCTTCATTTAATTACACCAATTTTGAGTATTTATTATGACTTAGGAAAGAGATACTAGCAATATCTTTACCCACCTCAAGGCCTTGTTTGGCACAAAACTATTAGATGTTTGTGTTAGCCTGTTTGTGCTAGGTTTTTTGTGATAGTTGTTTAGGAAATAACTATTTGATAATTGAGCTCTTTGTGTTAATTGTTTGATGTTTTAAAGGTAAAAAAATTGTAGACCAGAACAGCCGTCTCTAAAATGTTTGGAACAAGTTATTTCTTATCCAGTTCTTTTTTTTAACCAAAAGGCTGTTTGAAAAAACTTTTCACCATATGCTTCTAGTACCTGTTTGGCTTATCATTTGCGTCAAAAAACACGATGTTAAAACAAAGCTGCCCAAGTGGATGTTTATGTAATAATGACTCATGCAAGTAGAAGTTTTTAATCTGACTCTTGCAAGTAATAGTTTCTAATCTGCCGCTTTTGATGATCCTGAATATTCTTATGGGATAAATTTTTAGGTAGACTCATCACCCCATGTAAGACAATAAAAACAAGTCATACCCTATTTACTGATATGACATGAGATCTAATGTTATCATTTGTTTACATGGCAGTATGGTCTGTAGCTATATTTTATTCTCCAAATATACTAAGTACTAACTGTACAATTAATTCCGGGCGCCCACAGAAGGAAATGCTGACAACTAAATCCGGAGGGAGGGAGTAGTATACAAAGTAGTGGGACAAGTAACCAATGACTCTCAGAACATTGTTTACTTTGCTCTGCAGGGCTTGATTCAACATGTATTTGAGCTTCAAGACGGGTCAGGTGTTGCTGTTACAATTGGGAAGTATGTTACACCAAATCATATGGACATAAATGACAATGGCATCGAACCTGATTTCAGGAACCTCCCTGGTAAACATGTTCTGGCCCTACTTTATGTGAAAAAGAAAGTCTTTCTATATTTTAATAAGCGATATACATCTACTGCTTGCAGCTTGGAATGAAGTCACCAAACACCTGTCTGGATGTCACAAACCAAATTGAGGATAAAGCAAAGGTTTTCGGTGGTTTGAAATTACCAATTTCTTTCTTGGATTTTCCATCTCCATAAAACCCACCCCATTATAGGTCTCACTCTGTTGTGCTTTTGTTATTAGCAGTTTTTAGAAGTGCTTTTGATAAGAGCACTTTTACAGGGAAAAAATGTTTGACAAACGAAGTGTTTTTGGGTGAAAATTTTCAAAAGAAATACTCTAAATCTTTAAAACATTTGGAAGAAGCATGTATCACATGCTTATTTCAGAAGCACTTTTAAGTGTTCTTTTACTTTAAAAAGCGACTTTAAAATGTCACCCAAACACAATTTTAAATGTAACTAGAAGTGCTTTTGAGCATCCCCATAAGCACATCCAAGTAGACTCGTACACCTGTGCTACATTGCTACTCACGCGAGTGTGGTCGGGGACTGTTAGATGACATACACGCCGATATGCGTGCGCACACACGCACACACACTCACTTACTGAAAGTGATCAACAGTGAGGAATCCACACAGGCATAGAATAAACCCCTTATATGACTCCTCCTTGACCGATCATTGTGTGCTCACAGGTTTCTTTGTTCTTTGGCTCTTCCACTTCTTTCAATCCCTATCCATAATCAATGTCTGGGCGGTATTACCCCTTTTGATGGACTCGTCTCTTGGCTGTTTGCCCTGACATCTTGATGGCCCATGGAATTCTTTGATTTAACAAAAAATGATCATTTTCACTGCAAAATAGGGTCAAAAGCTGGCCTGAGACGGGTGATTATTTTTCACTAAACTGAAAAGCCAACTGTTCATATGGAGATATTATGTTCCTCACAGGTAAGGGTCGTCAAAGCACGGACAGTTCATCTCATTCTCCATTGACAACAGTTTAGCATTGACATAAATACACTGATACATGTTAGTGCTACATATACACCTTTATGTGTTTCGGGTTCAATGCCGTATTCCATTACACTCTATTTCTCTTGATGGTCAAGCTAAACATTCTCTTTCAAATGGTCTGATAATCTTTTCTGAGTTAGAGTGCAAGGTAGTATGCATGTCAAAGGATTAAGTCATCCGAGTCTCCGAAGGCGAGTTTGGTAGCTACAAAACTAAGTTGAAATGAGGCCAAGAAACCTGTATGTTGAGATTGTGGTTTCATTTGGATAGTTGGGATGTGTACTTTTTAATAAACTAAATGGAGATATATTAACAAGTTGGGTAAAAATATGTCATTAACATATTTCTATCTTTTCAGCAATAAAAACCTCATACGTTAATTTTATAGGGAAATTCTACATGGACACTCACTCTAGATAAACCATAGGGAATTTTGTTTTAATTTACAGGAGCTTAAGGAAAATTTCCGTTCTTTAAATAGGTGAGGAAAATCAAATGTAAAGGGAATAATAATTTTGCAAATCATGTTAATAATTTGTCATTAGACAATCATACAATCGATGTATTGAATAATTAATCGAGCAAATGAATGTCATCCTTTTAAAACCTTCACCAAATTCTTTTTGAACATCTTGAACATTAAATTTTTAATCACTCGTAAAATAAGGGATTGTCAGCCTTTGCATGACAATCTGATTTTTAATGATTAGTGCTTTCGATTTCTTAGCGGTTGTATTGTGTGTTGAAGCAGTCTCTCCCATTCCTTAAAAAGGGAGGGCTTTTGATCGGGAAAAGATCAACTGATCATAATATCCTGTCAGATGGCATTGCATTGTGTCTTCCCTTCAACAACAAAATAGAAGCGTATTTGACCGAAAACTATTTAGGGGTATCTTTGGTTTTCTGGTAATAATTTTCATGACCTATATTATTTGAAATATACTGTGGAGTGTCATCGTTTTTTGGTAAAAATTCTCATATCTCACATCATCCTAAATATAGTACGGGGTCTTTAAAGTTTGTAATATTGTACTCTGAGTTTACATTTCGTCTATTTAGATGTTATGACTAAGTTTCTTTACTTTGACTATTGAAGAATTTTATTTAAATTTAATAAAATAATAATTATCAAGGTAAAATTTAGTATTTGTCAAAGTACCAGTCTCTTTCCAATTGATCCTCGGTCCTCTAATTTTTCTTATTCAGGTTTTGTTCTGGTCAGATCCAATCCATCGAGTTTCAATCCCGACTGATGGATTGATAAAAAAATTAAGTTTTATTTTTTCTGATTAATTTTATAATATTAATTTTCAAGTTTTTCTTATGTTTAATGTTATATTGACTTTGAAAATAAAACTTTCTTCAATGTACTCTAATGTCACTTAAACTTTGTAAAGTTAAAAATAAAGTTTTTTATGAGATGAATGGAGAGTATATTTTAGCTAAAGTATGTTACTCGAGTAAAAAATATTGATATTAGTATTTGTCAATGTTTAGTACTCCCTTCGTTCACCAAAATTGTTGTTGTTTTGATTTTTGCATGATTTATTTTTGTAATTTGACTTTCTAATTAAATCATTAGCGTCCAAAAAAGAGAGACAAATTACTTAAGTAACTTATTATATCAATGCAAAATAGATGAAGTATATTGCACTGACTTTATTTGGATATATTAGTCATTTTAATATAAAAAAACAGTATTTTGGTGAAAGTGGAGAAAAATTAAAGAGAGAATTCCAGTGAACGGAGGGAGTACATGTTATGCATCAAAAATTAGGACTAGGTATACATTTGTAAAATTTCACATTTAAATTGAAAAAATAAAAATAAAATTTAAAAACTAACAAAAAAAATTTCTTAAATTGGAAATATCAAAATTTAAATCTTCAGGGCTCCGGGCATTACATCAAATATGGCATCAGGAAAGCAATTTTAGAATAATAGACTTTGAAATCTTTTTTAAATTGACAACGTTGTTTAATTCCTCTTTAGACAGTTTGCATATTTAATTCCTTAAGATTGTCCCATTTAGAATGCTTTCTTATGACAATTGTTTGCCTTTGCAAGGCTATAAGATTACCATCCCACTTTACACTCCTCCAATTCAAAAAAGGGTGTAATAATTAAAGAGACTCAAGAGGTAGAGTAACATCTGCTATTATTCCTTATGAAAATGCTAGTTGAATACTACCTTTTTTTAATGTAAAAATTAAAAAAAATCCATTTAAGTATTTTACCTTTTAAGAAAAATCCTTGCTAACCCAATTTACAAATATTTGGAGGCTATATTCAATTGAAACTTTTGAAGACTCCTAAAATGGTAGGTTTCAAAAGAATTATTCCATTTACCCTTATTAGAAAATCCATATTGACTCAAATATAAATATATATTACAAATATTGTGGTTGGAAATGGGTTAAGCAATTGATGCAAATTTATCTCATCTCCCTATTAATTTATTCTTGAATAGTACTTTTTAGTGTGTAGGGGTACAATGGTAATTAACATCCAATACCTAAACTATTTCGTAACCCAGCCCTTGCTAATATCAAAGAACCAACTCAATTAATAGTTCATACTTATGGTTATATATTCACGTCAAATTTTATATTCTAATCCAAAACTCAAGAATTTTATACGCTCCTAAAGACTCTTGAGATAATAGGCTTTGCGTCTATTTTGGAAAAGACTCAATGTTAAACTTTAGCATTTTGAAAAAAATATTTAACGATAACACTTAACTTTAACATTTTCTAAGATAACAACGTTCCCGAACATACCCTTTATAAGAACCCTAATGGCTTTTATAGACTCAAGTTGGTTTTTGTAGATCTGAAAATTCAATTAATGCCTAGCAAATTTCCAAATTTTTTTTTCTTATTTTTTTCCTGTCCTATTTAGGCACCTTCCCTTGCTTGCAGTTCCCAGCTATCCAATGCCTCTTTTCTCAAGTTTTCTTTTATATTCCACAACACTAACCTCTACTCTAATCAAAGAAAGTTTTGATTCTTCACCCTTTATCCTATTTATATAAATACAAACTTCTGCAAAAAAATATCTTCTCCCCCACTCAGCACACATTTCTCTTCTCTCTCTTTCTCTTTGAGAAAATCAATCAAAATCCATCACAACACCAAAGAAGAACAGAAGCCCATTGCAGGTAGAAGGATGAGCTCAAGACTTCTTTGCACTGCCATTTTGCATCTTTCCTGCTGCCTGTATCTACTTTCAGGTAAACGTAGCCGTCCGTTGCCAAAAACGGGTTATGAGAATCAATGTTGACAGTGTCTTAACTTCGGGTAAACGATGGACTAAATCAAAACCGCCCATTGAGCATACCTTGCTTATTACTTCCAACGAAGTTTCAGGTTGTAATAGAAACAGTCTCACAACTTTTTTGCGGGACTATATGTCTTGAACCCACATACCCCAACAAAGTTGGGATTATACTAGGTTTTTGTTATACTAGGGGTGTTTCTCTATATTGGTCCTAATTGGCTTATTGCTGATAAATGATTTTTAACTTATAAGCTACTTATAATTCAAATATTCTTTCATGAAAGTAAAGTGACTTAAATGATAGATAAGTCATTTGGAGGTGTTCATAAGTGGTGAAGAATAATTTTGTAAATAATCTAAGACAAAACAAAAAAACAGAAAAATTGGCTTAAAAATAAGTAGGTAAGACCTACTTTTTTCTATCTTATAAATAGCTTTTAAGTCGGCTTATAAGCACAAAGAAACCTGTGATAAGCTGACTTATAAGTTAAAAACTACTTATAAGCCATAATAGAGACAAGTGCCTGAGAGGGAGAAATTAGGAAACTATGACTTGCATGTCTACAAATTCTTTATATTTTTAGTGTTCAAAGATGAATGAAAATTCCAGAAGAGGGTATAGAATAGAATAGAAGAAACATTATTAGAAAGAAGAGAATCCATATCTGGTTTATTTCTTCAGGCACAAGCATTGCAGAGAAGCATCCCCTAGAAGCAATCAGAGAAAGCATGAGAACAGATTTTCAAGAGAGACAACATACCTTTTCACATGCAATGTATGGTACCCAACTAGATGATGTTCCCATCATCAATCCAACAATCCCAAATATAACTCCCATTCCATCAGGTCCTCCAACAAACCCAATCACCCCTCCCAGTCAGGGATCTCCAACGATTCCGATTCCCACGACACCCGCTATTCCTGATCCAGGCTCTCCAATAACTCCGATTCCCCCAACACCCACCATTCCTGGTTCTCCAACAATAAACCCGACGCCGAACCCGAACCCGACACCAACAAATCCATCCGGAGCATCACAATGGTGTGTTGCCAAGCAAGGTGCTGCTGATCTTGCTTTACAGGTAGCTTTGGACTACGCTTGTGGACTCGGGGGTGCAGATTGCTCAGCTATTCAGCCAGGACAAAGTTGTTTTGACCCTAACACAGTTAAAGACCATGCGTCTTATGCATTCAACGACTACTACCAAAAGAACCCAGCTCCTACCAGCTGTGATTTTGGAGGAACAGCACAGCTTGTTAGGACAGATTCAAGTAAGAAAATATTATAATTACTATTCATCATGCCCTGTCTATTAGATGGTATAACAATTTTTTTCCTACACTGTGGTGTTGTGTGCTTTTTGTGTTGCTCGGGTTAGGGGTCTCTTGGAAACAGCCTCCCGACTTTCAAGTAGGGGTAAGGCCTGCGTACACACACCCTACCGAGACCCTACTTTTGTGGGATTTTACTAGGTTTGTTGTTGTTGTACTTAAATTCCTCTTACAGGTACTGGGAACTGCCACTATACATCGGGAGGTGCTTCACCCACGACCCCTGCACAGCCATCTCCAACCTTTGAGCCACCTGCAACACTCATGCCGCCTCCACCCCTTGACACACCTCCAAGCCCCATAATGCTAAGGTAAATTTTCAAAATCACATTGAGTTTTGATGATGCTTGGCTTAGTACAAGGAAATCTTGACTTAGACAAACACGGATGATACTTGGTTGGAGCCGGTCTCCCGTGAGACCACCACACAGTGAGACAATGATAGTTTTAGGCTCTACGCAAATATTGAAATAGTTTCTGTTTTTGGCATGTCAATTGAAAAGTATAACAAACTTGGTCAAAATTTACTCTCCCTCCTTCCTATTTTGTAAGTCACACATTCCTTTTTGAATGGTCTAACAAGTATGTCTACTTATCTTAATGAACTCCACTAACTTGAATTTTCTACTTCACCCTTTTTTATTTCACATTTTGAGCTACTTGCACAACATTTTATCAAAGTTACCCACTCTTTATAAGGTAAACTGGGAAAATCAACCCAACATCACTTACTCGGATATCTTCTTAATATGTTAATATGCATGCAAAAAACAATTGAGACTCATAATTTGGGGGGGTACCATTGTCTTAGCATGAGATGGTCTCACAAAAGTTTTTTTGTCATTTGGGGGTTACCACATGGATGGAATGATTTGAATTTATCCAATGCAGCCCGCCTACGCCAGTCGGCAGCACCCAAAACCCACCGGGCGAACCAACAGTTCCAGAACCAACAGATTATGGAGCACCAACGGATTCCCCTAACTCGGCGCACCTCTTCTCAAGAAACCTAATACTAGTCATGTTTTCTTTTCTCTCATTCATCGCAACTCATATCTAAATATAAAGTTGGAATAAATGAAGAGAGGATTTGCTCATTGAAGATGCAAGAAGACACCGATTTATTTAGTGCCTCCACACATTACAAACTCTCTAGAGGCAGAGGGAGCAATTGTGATGCTCCAAAGCTTATGGCCTCAACCAAGAGGCAATTGTTGTATCTTTCACCTTTGTACGGGCTTTAGCTCCTGTAGGAAGCCAGTAGACAGTGAAGAACAATATCTCGATGTAGTCATCATTTTATAGTTATGATTTCACACGATAAATATTTTATTATTCTAAACATGAACATATTAATAGAAATATCTCACCTCATTGCAGTCTCATGATATTCTACAGCATGTGGAAATAAACTATGATGATGATTTAGAATTTTCAACTCATTATTTCTTAGTCATCGGATAACTAATGCATTCCCAGTTCCCAATTTTCGGTGAAGTGGTGTTTTAGTGTTCATCCATCATGGTTCTAATTATATTAGGGAACACACGATCCTCTTTGGGGAACACTAAAATTGTCATTTTCCCTTTTGTGCTCTTATTTTTAAACCAGAATTATTTCTTCATCATCATCATCATAAAAGTAGTTGGGGCCGGTGGCATCATAATCATTATTTAAACTACACAAGGCTGAGAATTTACCATTTCCCATGTGAGTCTCATTCAAGCAAATCTCTCTTTGACCCTCGAGATGTTATTTCAAACATCAATTATTATGTTTAAAGAAAGCAAACAAACACAAGCAAAACTCAAGTATCAAACCAGGATGACAGTGAAACTTTTACCAAGCCCAAATATAAACAAACTGACCATTCACCTTCAATTCACATTATAAACAGATAAGCATCAAAGGAATTTCCCAGAAAGTGAAAGGGTATAGTTATTGGGCTGATAATTTTCAGAAGATGGCATTTTCATGATGCTTCTCTCTATTCAGTTAGATCAAGAGCAAGCAAGGTACAACGACAATACACAATATGCCTAGGGTGGCAATGATTGAACCTTGGTCAAATGCTGTTTTCAAGCTTCCTGCACGTGAGAAGTGCTGGAAAGCAAGATAAGCTGATATCACCAGGGAAAGAATAACTCCCTCCTTTGTCCCCCTGACGAATACAGCAAAAAACGAATACAGATCAACAAAACAAATCAGAAGGCTTAAATTCAGTGCACACTGCACACACGCACACACACCTTAAGCTTGAAACTTGATAGGGGGACACAATCACCATGAGTAATGCAAATAATGGAAGTTCCAGTTCACCTGAAATGAATGGAAATAAGTTGGAAAACTCATTTATCTTCAAAGCATCTATCCAATGAGGTATATACCCATATCAGTATTTTAAACCTTTGACAACACAAATTCGATATTGCAGCTTATTCAGTCAAGTTTCCCACCAGCAAGACAGCTGATTCTTAATCATTCTTAAATGCCAATCTGTATGATCATCCTTTTCCTTAAGAAATTGTTTCTTTAGTGGGGGTGGGGGAGTATTTTAGAAAAATGAATAGTATGACTTGTTCAGGTTGCTCATGCTGACACAAATCAAAACACAACATTGTAGTTGTGCAAGAAATGAAAAAAAAAAACATAAAAGCAAAGTAGACTGACTAGACTCAAAGCTTCAATGTTGATCAGGTCCTTCATGTTTATTTGATCATGTCTTATGTTCAACAAGGACAAGAAAAACATCGCACATATTGCTATATAACTTATATTACTATCACCGTGACCGACATAACAAATAAAAGATGAAAAATCCATTTCCGGTAGTTCTAAGTATAGGAAATTCCATTCAACTGACCAGGAAAGAAGAAGAAAAGGCGAACAAGAAGTGCCAAGAATGCTGTCCAAATGCCGTACTCGCCCCTGCAAACCAATGTTCAATCAGTTTATCAAATCCCATAATGTAATAAGGAGAGTAGTATTTTACCCCCAATGATGATTAAACACCAAATAATAATTATTATGGAGTATTATTATTATTATTTAAAATAATAATAATTATACTTTGTAATAACAGCAACAGCAACAGCAACAGCAACAACAACAATGATGATAATGATAAGCAGAGAGGCTTACTTGATCCAGGAGACAAGAGTTAAAGGAGCTTGTAAAACAAATAAAGGAACAAGAAAAGATTTGTGAATAGAAGTTCCCCTCGCAAGCATCAAAACCCTAAACAAGATAATGGAATGATCATGAGAATAAACGCGTGAGGTCTAAAGAGCACTGGCATAAAAGTAACTTAAAATTGACAGTAAGCATGCCATGACTGGATAGATGGGTGGGGGTATTGGGTGTCCATTTGTGACAACTTGTCTCTAGCTTTACAAAACGAGCAAAAAAAGGACTCACATGCATTCATCTCTCTCCCATATCGCTAGCCTTAAATATATCTTTTATTCACAACAACTACTTTGCTGGTAATGAGCATCTATCCATCCATCTTATAATGAGTAGTGAAATGTGATTGCACTTTGAGTAAGGAGGAAAACATTCTCTGGAGCTCTAAATATCAGCTTAAGCTTATGGATGATTTCGTTCATTGGCAACAACACCACACATTACAGCTAGTTGGTCGGGACAGAGAAAACTTGATCTTGCTTAGACAGCTATTGTCCCACATTTAGAAGAATAAAAAATGGAGGACGAAAGACAATCCTTGCTTACACAGATGAGATAGTTGAGACCCATTGGAGATTTCGGGGAGCGAAAGCAGTAGAGTAGTGACAAACCACACCACTTCTCAGTCTCTTCTTCATCCCACCCTTCAGATCAATTGCAACACTGCACCAAAAGCATTTCAAACAGCCATCGAAGTAAAGAACAAGTCAAGAATTGCTCGCGGGCAGATTAGAACCCTTTTGAACAAATCAAGAATTGTTTGCTATAAATATAACTAAATAAAAAAGAAGGAAATTCATAAGATCTACCCGAGGGGATTGTACTTAAAGCTGCTGAGAGACCTGTAGATTTGCTGCGAAATGGGTTGAGAAGATGAACGAGAAAGGGTAAATCGGTTAAAAGGGCGAGGTCCATGGGAATACATGGAAGAAAGAAAGTTATTTCTTTTGAAGAGAGAGGAGCATGGCGAAAGGGAAAGAGCCGCCATTTTTACACTGGTTAGTACACACTACTACAGTGTCTCTCTGTGTGTGTTCATCTTTTAGCACACCAATGAATGGGTGCAGGTGAAGTAGTCAAATTGTGAATTGCATCCAAATAATTACAGAGATAAACGTGGCACCATTTCAGAGAGCACTCACAGATATGCCATATCTCTTCCCTTCCTCCACTCGCATTTATTGCCTGCGAAATACCCCCACCCCCACCCATGTAGGGGAGGTGAAATTGGTGTCCTCCTCAGTCGTCACCCACCACAGTCTCCAATGCCCAACCCCCGGGATGGCAACGGGTCGGGTTCTATGGGATTTGAGTATTTTCAAACTCGACTCGATTTAGGTCGGGTTCGGGTCTAATTTTGGTAGATCGATTTTGGATATTTATTTTTTTAGTTTGGACTCGATTTAAGATTCGGTCAGACCAGTTACTGTCAAATTCGGGTTTGAATATAAATAAAAATATTCATAAAAAATTTTAGATTGAAATATATTAAAAATTTATAATTTTAAAGACGACTTAAATTTAAGTTATTAAAAAAATATTTATGACTGAATAACCCTCAAAAATATTAAATAGTAAGTTTTAACTAATACTCCTGTCCTAAAACTTTCTTCCCACTTCCCCTTTTTCTCCGTC